GAGACGGTAGAAATTGGTGCCTAAAACGACGTACTTCAGGGTAGCGTTCTCTTTCTGCTGCTGGGGTGAAAGACTTCTGGACATACCTCGGTGCTGAGGCTGATCAAAATACACCTTTTAGAGAAAAACACTGTGTGCAGTAAGCGGAGCTGCCTGAACGCTGAACTGATGTTATTGTTCATGCCAGGATAAAGAGAAGGAAACAGTAGCAGAAGGATGTCAACTAGTTATTTTTTCACTCCAACGCCCCCATCTTTGCTTACAAAGCGTTACTTTCATGAGTCCTGGGTAGCAGTTACAGAATTAACTTTAAGAACTAATGAATAAACTATGCACTTTTTTTATTTTTATTTTTTATTTCCCCCAAATAAACCAGCTTTTATAAAAGGTAAAAATACTTTTGCTGCTCCTGAGCTTGACAACAGCAGCCTCAGATACCAGCTTGCCAGCTTGTGGCCAGTTTTACGTCTCGAGTGATGCTCTGTCGGCGTGTGTATGGAGACAGTGTGCTTTACAGCATTCAGAACGTGTTCTGTTAAATCTCTAGTAGACAGAATGTGGCTCGTGGGAGAAATGCAGTTAGAAACTCTTGTGCAGTGACTGGACAAACCCCCTCCAAGAAGCACATGAAGCAAAGCCGCTGCCCCTCAGCCCTGTGTAACTGGGCAGCCTCAGCTGGAGAACAAACCCCAGATTATCTTGGCCTTTTTGTACCCTAATGCCTCAATTTTTAAGACAAGGGCAACACTATCAAAGTTAAAAAAATGCTTCCATAATGACTGCTTTTTTAATTATTGAGGACAGATTTTAAGACAGCACATGAATGAAAAAGTATCTAGTCAGTTTTTTAAAGAAGCAAGGTTTATTTTTGAGAGAAAACAAAGAGAAGCAAACACAGTTTAGCCAACACAGGTTTCAGATTAAATTTGTGCATTAGCTGCTGTCTGATATTAAAGTATATTAAGTCTGGGCTTGAAGGGTTTTACAGCATCCCCTAAAGCTCTGTGGCTGGTGGAGCTTCTCACTCAGTCCCCAGATGTTCCTGTAAAACAAGAACTTTAATTCTTTGGAATGTATACTCAAGGTTTTATTTCTATCTCCAACAGCCATGAAATGATAAATAAATTCCAAAAATCAACATTTCAAGTCTTAGATGATATTTCAAGTTTGGACAAAGCCAACATCTTACGTGAGAAATATTCTGAAAAATTATTATGGACCAACTCTGTGTGATGCCGACTCACCCATAGAAACCAAGTGGCTTTTACATCATGTTCTGCAAAATTAGGGTGTTTGACAGAGCTGCTAAAGAAATGAGCATCACACATGGCAGCTCTGCCAGATTTTAACCTGAGAGAACAGAAACACACCTACTTTCTGAGCCCTTGCTCTTGGCCAACATTTGGCTTTTTACTTGCTCCTTCCTTTCCACAGCCCCATCCCTCCCCTTATACTCCTTTGTGCTCCACTTTCACTCACCCATCCGTCCCTGAAGTTGCTTGCTCTTATGTTTTTAGTTCAAATGAGTTTGTAACCTTGATCCCTAAGTTTTAAGGGCTTTTTTTATGTATTCAAATTCCAAATCAATCAAAATTAAAAATCAATTCAAGTGCTATTTGAAGTGTGAAAGTAGAGTCTCCTCAAGCAATTGGTAGGAACCTGATCTAAGCCCATGCGGAGAAACACAATTGCTCCATGCGCATTAATATGAAAAGATTTACGCTCATTTGTATTTCAGAACATTTCTGCAAACGTTAAATGATCGAAGTCTTACAGATATACAGAATCATAGAATCACAGAATGGTTTGGATTGGAAAGGGCCATCATCAATCTAGTTCCAAACCCCCTGTCGCGGGCAGGGACACCTCACACTAGACCATGTCGCCCAAGGCTCTGTCCAACCTGGCCTTGAACACCACCAGGGTTGGAGCATTCACAGCTTCTTTGGGAAACCTGCTCCAGTGCCTCACCACCCTCACTGTGAAGAACCTCTTCCTTTTATCTAACCTGAACTTACCCTGTTTAAGTAATCTCCTTGCCCTGTGACAGAAAAAAGTATTTCCCTATTTGCTGATTGTTTCTTCCCTCCATCACCTCCAGCCCCATTTCCCACCGCTTTAATAGATCATCTTCTCCACACCAAAGCTCCAGCCAGGGGTGAGCAGGACAAGACCAGGAGCTTCTCTAGCCCGGGAGGGGCTAAACCTGGGGATATAACATGTCCCTGCCCATGCAGGTGGGAGTCCCAGCCAAGTAATTCTTTCTCACAGAAACTAATTGTAAGAATATACCCAACTACTTTTCCTCACCTGGACCGACGACTGTTTGCAGCGTTACAAGCAGCGCTCCCTTGGTGTCCAACAGCTGCAGGCAGGATATCCCAGCAGAACGCTCTAGGACCAACAGTCCTCCCCATCCTACTAAGAACGACCACCCCGAAACATGTGAGGACAAACCCACTGCTCTTATTTACACTGAGTCAGGGCTCAGAGAATGTAAGGTTTCTTTATAGTCATAGTTAACCAGAAGAGAGGCTGACCACTGGTTAAAGGTGTCTTTCAATCAAACCCAGTCTGTGCTCTGCACCCAGACTCCCCGAATTGGTCACTTCCCCGTCAGCAACAACTGCTGGTTTAGTCAGTACATTCCCGATGGTGACAAGGGGTTTAAAAGAAAGCGCCTTTGCTCAATGGCACCACAGTTCATGGGTGATGTGTCTGCAAGACCGAGACCCTAGAGGAGGAAGGAGAGAAGAGAAGGCAGAGGCGGGGCAGCAGGGCAGGGGTACAGCTCCCAGCTCTGGAGGAGCTGTCACTTCAGGCGTGCTGCCGCAGCTGTACCGGGATGTTTCATACATCACTCAAGGTAAAATATCTAAATGCAGATACCAGATTTATTTCCTCAGGAACCTCCGTAGGTGGCTTTACCGAACCGCAGCGCCCTCTGCAGTCCATGAGATCTTAAATCAGACCCTACCTTTGGTCCCCCACTTGAACACGCTTTTTTACCACCACACCATACTGGCTTACCTGTTGGACAGGTAATCGGTACCCATCTAAAAGGGAGTGTGCTGTGCAGGGCACTGACTGTAGTGGCAGAGCACCCACTTTAACTGGATTAATTGGGAAAAGAATGAGACAATATTAAAAATTTTATTCTCAGAAATTCAGACCCAAGTTAGAAATGATTTCCTGGATATTTATGACATTGGAATTCCCCCCCCCCCCCCCTTTTTTTTTTTTTTTCTTTTTTTTTTAATAGCATTCTAGTATAGCACCATGTAGCTAAATAATAGGATGCTGTTCTCAGCCTAAAAACTGCAAGTGATGCAGTATCTATCATTGAGAATGTCAATGTTGAAACTATTTAATTTACACAACACAAAATTCTCCTAAAAAAATGTGAGGTCTGTCGACAGCGACTGGAGTGGTTGGGTACATCTGAAAACAAGAGATTTCAGGTAAGCTGTGTGGATCCTCTCCAGAGGAGCTCCTCTGCTCTCTTCTTCACAGAATACAATCACAGAAGATTCACTTTCCCGCAGAAGAGATCCCCCGCTGCAATCCCCGCAGCCTGCATCAGACAAGCAACTCCACCCATGGAGACCACGGGGCCTTTCACAGGTAGAACACAGCATCATGCATTTATAACTATTATAACAATCTCTACTAGAGTTAAACCACAAGGATTTGGTTTGGTTTTATCCCTCTGACCGCACCTTTGATTTACTCATTTGGCAGAATTACCAGGGTAGTCCCTCGGGAGGGATTGGAAGTGAGAGAAGCAAATGGGCTCCGTTCAAATGGAAGCATGGGCTTTCTGTGACGGTATGCAATTTAGCACCAGATAGCAAACCAAGGGCTATGCCGAGTTGAAATGCTGTTGCCTCTCTGCTTTTTCACACATAATCCTCACCCTCATGACAAGTCACTTCATTTGGTCGTAGGAATGCACCCTCTGCATTGATATTCAAGTAAACTGCCAAAGATTCCAGGTGAATAGCTTGAGAGCAATCAAGTGTAGCATTTAATGCAAAGCTTTACATGGCAAGACAAGTTTATAGGGGAAAAAAAAAATCAAGCCAATCTCTCCCAAGATAGACTATTTTATATTACTGAAGGTAGGTCACATCCAGTATGAGAATAATCCAAGAAAAATTTTTGGTACCACACAATCCAGCTGGCATGTCCCATCCAAGTTAAGTACAAACACGCGTGAAAACCAACACTGAAGATTCCTGGGTACTGACAGGTCCCACCAACGCATTCATGCTTTTGGTTACTCAATAGACTGGATACCTGTCATTTTCAGTTAGCAGCATACAGAGAAATTGCTCCGATCCTGGGCACTACACGCGGCACCGCTTCCGAGGCTCATTCCAGTGTGGAAAAGGGAGAGAGGTGGCGAGAGTGCTGCCAGGTACAGTCAGCAAGAGGCAGAAGAGCACGGAGGGAGCCCATGCCATCAATAGAGCACACCCACCGAGTTTGTCTGTAAGATCACACTCACTTCCCTTTCAGAAAGTGCCTTATTTATTCAGTTTTTAATGGTATGGCATAAGGACTCCCGTATTTTATAGATAGATACCAAACTGGTATTATCAAAATAAACCATCTGTTTTATAAACCAATTATTTACAAAAACGGTTTCTGAAGTTTTTTGTTTTGTTTTGTTTTTTTAACAAAAATTAAACTATACACCGATCTAAGTTACAGAAACAAAAATAAACTTTATAAGATCACATGTATAAAATAAGAAATGAAATGTGTTTTTATTTAAGGCAATACTGGGCTACTTCACAAATCACCACCTCAAATATAGATACTGCTCCACACTACTAATTTTCTATAACATTCACAATGGATTCTTTAATACCAAATATTGTTTTAGATCTCCAATGTAGCAAACTATTTTTATTCACATTTCAATTTTTATTATGGAATCATAAATGCTTTGTATCCAATTAAAAGCAATGAAAAATGTAGCTATAAGAAAACTATTATATTTATGTGTTAACTACATATGAATATCATCCATGGATTCTGGATGTTAAAATTTACGAAAATGAGAGGGTGTCAGTATGTTTAACTTCTGAAATGTGGTCGTATCCAGCTCCTCTCCTGTAAATAAATGCTTTATGCAAAATAAAACTGGATATGGCAGATTTAGCTAATTTTAGTTTAAAAGTTCTTAATTTAAAATGACTAAAGAACAGTTTCAAAAACTTACTTACTTAGTTACAAATTAAAATTCCAAATATAAATGTGTAATTTAATAGTTTAGACTTACAGACTGCTGGTGGCAGCAAATGATTTACAATAATAAATATATACTAAAAAGAAATGTATCTACAAATAATAAAGAGTACTGTTATACATGAACAATAACCTGGTGAAAGAGAACAATCACAGACAATTCACAAAGATTTAGTTCATGGAAAGGACAATCTGATATAAAGCTGAGGTTTTGATGGAGTATTTACAAAACTGAAGCAATTACTCTGTTCTTCAAGTCCCATAGGGATAAAAACAAATAAGACATTTACATGACTCATATCATGTTTTTTGCTAGGTTTAATCACTTCAAGATAAAAGCTCCACAGTTACTAACATGCTTGATGGCTTCCTATTCAAAATAAATGTTAGTACATGTCACAGTTAAACACATCAGGTTTTCAGTATTTTGACTCCCCTTCCTTGGGACCCTTAACAGTTACTTCTGCAGCGAAAACCTCCGGATTATCCTCCCAATGTCCTTCGGTCTTTCTCAAAGTGACGACAGGTTTCATTTCCTGAAGCTGCCGCAACACGCGCTCAGTGCAGTCTTTGAAAGTCTTCTCTAAAACAATCCTTACAAAAGTCTTGTCTAAAACAATCTTCACGTTGTCACCGCAGGGGAGCTGTGATGGGTTGGCAAACGGTATGAGGGTTTCATTTTCCGAACATGACCAAGTGACATTATTACTTGCTACAGAGGTCTTCTCGTTGTGTTTTCGGGCATTTGAATGGGATCCTTTTTTGGTTCCGGCGCTGTGGCAGTCTCTTTCTGTGGTTTTCTTTTGCTTCACAGCAGACTCTTCAAGGAATTTGAGAAATGACGCTTCAAACCCCATTGGCTTAAAGGAGCTCCAGTCGAAAGTTGCAGGTTGCTCTTCGGCCGTTTGAATGGCTACAGCAGTCTCCTCCTCCCTGTGTGTGCTGCTCACGTCAGCGGGCGGCACTTCCTCAGGTTTTTCAACTTTCCTCCTCTTACTCTGAGATATATTTTTTTCTTTGTTTGCTCTTTTTAAGTTTGTTTTTTGCTTTTCTGAGGGGCAGGAGTTGGTCTCTGGCAAGTCGCTATTTACACTGGAAGAGATTTTTGCTTGATTTTCAGCACTTGAACAGTCCTCGTTAATCAGTTTCGTAATGAATAGTTCTGTCAGTTCATCCACTTCGTCCTTTTCACCTTTTTCAGTTTCCTTTTGTGGTAATGTAGTTGTGCTTGAATCATTATTGCTCACAATCAAACTCGGTTCAGGCTCCTTCACATCACTTTTTTTATCAGTCTCCTCTTGCTCACAGGAGTCTTCCTTTACTGGCAAGACAGAGAGCTTCTTAGACACAATAAGAAGATTCCTGTGTTGGGAAGTAAATGCTTTGGACAGCTTGTGGCATTTATAATGCCTTATTATGTTACTTTCGCTTGTAACAACAGACGAACATCCCTTTATCATACACGGATACTGAGTTATGAACCTGCTCGTACATTCCAACAAGGCATCGTTTCTAGCCTTTATGGAATACACATGCTTGCCACGTTTCAGTGAATAACCTGTATTTTCTTCAACTTGAATTCCTTTTGAGTTTTTGTTGTCCAAGTTCAGATTTTTCTTTAGTTTCGTTTTCCCCGACAGCCTCTTACATTCTTTTCCCAATCTGTTTTTTAGTGGTCTCTGTTTTGACTTCAATGGTTTCTCCTGATTTGCTTTGCTTGAATTGTTCTCCTGATCTGGTGTCAGTCTCCTGGGTCTTATTAGATGATCTTTATGCCTGTCATTATGTTTGTTAAAAATATGCCTTAAGAGGTTAGACCTAGTAGCATAAACACGGTCACAGCCTTCACAGTCACATCTGAATACGCCGTCATCTTCTACTTTGTTTGGCTTTATCTTAATGCCGTGATCTGCCTCAAGATGTACAACGTAGTTAAGATACGCTGTAAATGAGGACTTACACTGAGACTGATCGCAGGAAAACCTTCCCACTTCTGGAGCTGGCTTCATGTTTCCAATTTGCTCTGGGGTCATGTCATGAAGCTTCATGTAATGTTGTATCAAACCGGTAACTTCCTGGAAGATGCGAGAGCAGTCGCTCACCTCACACCTGAACTCCCTGACAACAGGTTTGGCTTCTACCTCATCACGTTCCTCTCTGCCTGGCTCATTCTCCTCCTCCACTTCAGCAGAGAAGGCTGGGAGGTCTGATTTGTGCACAGCTTGGTAATGAAGGATTAGGTTTTGCTGTATGGTAAAGGCTGCGAAGCAGCCCTGATGGACACATCGATAGGGTCTGTAAGGGCTGTATCTAGTGGGAAACTCCAGAGACTTTGGTACAGGCTTCCTACGTTTTCTGTCCTCTTTTTCCTTCCTGAACCTCCTAACCTTGTGTAATTTGGCTTCTGCCTGTGTACTACCGAGACAGACTGCATTATGCTGCTCCGGTAGAACAGAAATCACTTGGGGCGGTTTTTCCAGTCTTTCAGGAATGTTTTCTGGTAACAGTTTTTCCAAGACTATTACAGGCTCTATGACTTCCTTTGTCTGAGTTTCTTTGACCAGTGGAGCTGCAGTTTTGGTTCCTATTGTTAGTGGATGCAAAGTTTTTATTTCAACAGGCTGTGGGGCTGTGTTTACAGGCTCATTTTGAGATCTTCTGCCATAAGGCCTTTTAATTTTTAATTTCACCATCTCCTCTGTTGTAAAATGATGCACAAGCTGACAGTGCGCTCGGAGATTAGAGTTTCTTGTGAAGGTTTTTGGACAGGTAGCTACAACACATTTGAATGGGGCATACTTCAGTTGATGCTTCTTAATTTCTAGTATCATTTCTGCACTGTACTGATGAATCTTGCCATAGTGTTTAAATAACGCGTCTTTTGTCATAGCGCTGTAACTGCAGCCTGGATCCTGACACACAAAAGGCTTATTAACTTTATCACTGAACTGAATGTTACTTGCCTCTGAAGACAGCTGGATGAGGGTTTTACTTTCAGTCAATACAAGAGGAACTCCTGGTGCTACTGTATCAGCTGGGGGACAATGGGAAACAGTCTGGGAGGCTGGAATGGGTGGATTATCATCTAGTTTCAGTTTCTGCAAGCGCTCCATGATATCCAACACTTGAGTATCATCCTTTTGAGATGTCTCAGACTGAGCAGAGCTACTCTTTGCAGCAGTGACATTCCCCATGTGCACGGCAAACTGCGGCAGTTTTACACTGTGTGCAGTATCTCCCAAAGAAGCCTGTGTGTTATTTACTTGTGAGTTCTGTCCGGAAGCACCAACAGTATCCTGAATTTCAGTTTTCACCTCAAGTATGTCTGTATTCAAAGCGGTTTTAAGCATTTCCAGAGTTTTTTCAAAGTTCTGCAGAACACAGTCTTCTGAAATCTTCTTCTCTGAATTTGCTTGCACGCAAGAATTTACAGCCACCATTTGGGAATCCCCATTTTCATTTTTTACTGTTAAAGCAGGGAGCGTTGTATGAGCCTCGAGATTTGTTTTGAAGTTCTCTTTGATACTGGTCATGAATAACTGATTGTCAACATTGTTGAGTTTCTGCGTGAGGTTTTCCACCACTTGAGAGCCACAGTTGGCTAGCAAGTTGGACTGAAAACCTTCTCCCTGCATTTGCACGTTTCCTTCAGTGCTTTTGGTTAGAAGTCCCACCACTGTATTATTTACTGGTACTTTTGGTGATGAGTTGGGCGCAAGCAAGGGCATAGTTACTTTTTTCTTCTTCTTTGAAGCACTGGTTCCCTTCTTATTCAAGTTGCTTGATCCTGGATCCTTGGGACTACTAATAACTGAAACTCGTGAACTGTCCCCTGCAACGCTTTGCGCTGCTGGAACAGGATTCGAAAATGAGTCAGGACATAAGTCAGTTTCAAACTTCCTTAGCATTATGTCCCCTTTCGTAAAAACAGGCAAACGCCTGCACACCAGACCAGTTCTGGTGTTGAGGGTCCTGTTCTGGTCTGTTAGCAGGGTACCGGGGTTACAGGTTGTCTGCACCAGCGGGGATGCGGCTGAGTTTGGGAGAACAGCTGCGTTTATCTGAGTCGTAGCAGTGACACAACTTGTTGGAACGACGTGTGGAAGCACTTCTGCGTTATCAAAGGTACTCGGGATGCCTGCAGTTTCCAAGGCCTGTTTTATAATCTGATTTCCTTCCTCGTTCCCACCGGAATTGAAGTTAGTCACACTGGCCCGTGGAAACACAGTCTGCAATAAGGCCGTGGAACGATTTTCAGCAGCAAGTAACTGGAGGAATGATGGATCTTTAAA